TTATTATTATTTTGTTTCATCTTACTTGTGAAAAACTTCAGCACATTAGAGTTCAATAATTGGACTACTACCTAATTGTGTACATATAGTTCATTTTGGTTGTATTTGCATTATTTAAACTCTATAAAATTGATATTATTACAATTGTAAGAAAAACAATTTTAATTTAATTTTCATAATGTACCCTTTTTCAAGACTGTCATAGATGGTTCTGAAATGGACTTCTTAAGAAACATTATTTTAAATCAATATCTATGATGTTTCCTTGATAAGTAAAATAAAAATAATAAAATTTATATTTATATTTTTAATTAATTCATGAATCATTATTTTAAGTTATAGTTAAAAACATTTATTTATTAAACTATAATTACTCAAATTCTTGAGTAATTTAATTTATATAGATCTTTTTACTAATTTTATATACTAATAATAACATTGATTTCTGAAATTAATTTTAATGGTAAAGTTTAGCCATAGATTATTTATACTTTGATAAAAAAATCATATATATATCATATATTTATATTTTTTTTTTACATTTGTTATGTATTAAAAACAATCGTGGGTGTATTTTTATTTTAACATCACAAAAATTCATATTTTTACTTCATTTGGTTTGTTAAAATGTTATCTTTTTGTAGTTACTTTAAAATAAATGCTTTATGATTTAATAAATTTTTAATTTATTATGTATGGTGGTGTAAAGGATACATTTTTAAAGACAATAGTACAACAATATTCAAAAAATGTGATGTAAGTTAAATTTAGTTATTTTTTAGTCAGTGTATATTTGCTACACATGAGACGACATTTTACCAAATAATTGTTTTTTGATGATAGTGTATAATGCCAAGTGCTAAGTTGTACTTATATTTTAATATAACTTTTAATCCCTGAAAATGTTAACATAAAAATATATGATTTATCATTAAAACGCTTTAAATATAAGATTTAATTTTATAAATATAAATTTTAGTTTTAACCTTAAAACTATAGGTACTTCAAAGTATATATTATCGATTATATTTTGTTAAAAAATGTTCCAAATAATTCATGTAATCCTACATTGTAATGTTTATATTCTATAAATTATGAATTGAATGGATAATACTAAAAAATAAATAATTTTTAAATTAGTTTTTATCATACTGACCTTACCCTTTCCTTTTTGGTGTTTTCTGCTTAGAACAATTTATGTGCTATTTTTATTAACCTGAAGTTTTGAATAAATCTATGATAAAAACTTACTAGTTAAATGCAATTTTACTAAAACCTTGAATTCCGTAATAGTGCATACATATTTTCACCAATTGTTTCATGTACTTTAAATTTTAAATTTCATCAGCCAAAAACAACTATTTAAGACATTGCTAACTTTTGAAAATGAAAGTACTTAGGTAAGTTATTAAAGTTTTAAAGTATTTAGTGTTAATACATATAGTATATACTGAGTACTTAGATGGAATTAAAATCTTTACATTGCCTGTATTTTTCATATCTTTACAGTTATCTAGTATTAAAGTAAAATTATAATGTTGATTATTTTAATTTATTTCTCTAATTTCCCGAAGTAAAATAATTTTCTAAAAAAGTTATGTGAAAGATATATCAATAATATTAAATTATTGGATTTTATATTAAGAATATCATAATAAGTAATAATAAGTTTTTAAAGGTTGGATAAGCCTATTTAAGAAAAAAAGTCTGAAGTATATTATAATAAAATCGATGTGTATTTTTAACTTAAACCTAACTATACAATATTACAATGTCGTTATAATTACCGATAGGGGGAATGGAGAAGAGCTTCCGTCAGAATGTTCTTATGATTAGATTTACCATTGTTTTTACTAAATCCGGACACTAAAATTGTGAGTCGGGGGGGGGGGGGGGACCAAGGACCAACGCTAAGTATTACATGTGAAAAAATTAACATACGAATAAAAATAATATTAATAGAATAACATTTAATAATACCCTTGTCGTTTATTTTATATCAACTATCAAGTATCAACAACAATAATATTTGGTCTTAGCTTAGCCTTCCGTTTAAGATGACATGTTTTATTGATAATTTAAATTATTCAAAAAATATGATAATTATAATGTTGTTTTTGGGCCTATAGGTTAAAAACAATCGATCCTTCTACAGTCAATAGAATCGATTTTAATGGATGTCTGTACCTATGTAGTTGCTTACAAACCCTATAACTAGTTATAAGTCCTGGGCGGCTGGATTGCATTATATCTTTTTTTCGTAATCAATTGCTGTTTTCCAATAACTATTAGATCTAGCAGCCATCTAAGCTATTGGTTAGGGGAACATTCAGTATCGATGCCTCCCGTAGAGATCAATGATAGTCTTAAAGGTATAATATTACAATGATATAATGTTATGTTTCAGTGATAATGAGGCGGGCTAAAAGACGCCAACAAATCACAATACTCTATGCATAGTAACATACACCCTGTCCTACAATCGGACTCAGCTCATGTTATATCGTTAAAGTGAATAGAATGCGTGCGATTGTCGGCGGTACCTATATATTATTGTATAGGTCTTGTATAGTTGTATAGTATTATAATAACCAATAGGGAAGGACGTACGATACAATTATAAATTAGTTTAATCGAAGAAAGGAAACAATGTTTTTTTTTTTACGAAAATACTATACGTTTTTTTCTTGTCCCGGCACGATACGTAGCATTGTTTTTAGGTCTCGTCAGTCGTCGATACCGTCATAGTTTTTTTGTTTTTTTATTTGAGCAATGGGCCGCTACAAAGATACAAAAATATCATGATATTAAATTATTAAATATTATAAAAGTACCACTAGTACCGGCTACAAGCAGGAGGGCCATTTAAAATTTTTGAAAGGTATGCAAAAAAGCGGTGGAGCAAAATAATTTTTTAACAGACCAATATAACAAGTATCTATATGTGCATTGTAGGTACTTATATACTAGAAATTAGAATTTAAACAAAACACTTTTAATAGTTTCACTCAAAAATTAACTTCTAAAATTTTTTCCATCTCCTACAATATCAGTAAAATAATACTCATCTACTGTGAAAAAAATTTTATATCTCAAACCTCGACTAATTTAACTTTTTTAGCCTTAAAGTTTAAAATCTATTTTCATGGTATTGTATTACGTATTTTTTAATTTTGTAACTAACCTACTTACCTACCTATTGACTATTTTGTGGTTTTTTATAATAATTAGTACCTAATATTATAATTAGGCTTAAGGATATTTACTATTTAGCTCTAAAATATAAAGGATGCTTTAAAGAACAACCAAAAAAGTTCTAAAAATAACAAAATATACAATTCAACATATTTGATAACCATTGAATTTTATTTGAAAATAATTTTCGTACGATTGATTAAACTATAAATAGTATAAATACATTTAAATAGATCAGGGATGGTTTTTAGTGTTAATATAGATCATAATGAATTATTGGTTTTAAAAAAAATCTGTTCGCCAAGTATTGTGTACCTATTTAATAAGACTATATAGTAATATATATCTACTTAAAATATTAGATTTTAATATTCATATAAATATACTTAGATATATAAATGTATAGGGAGGCTTAAAAGAGTATAAAACCATAGAAATCGTTACCTATTGTAACCACTTACTAGTAACCATAGTCGTATTTTAATATTACACAATACCAAACAATTCAAACCATGATTTAAAGATTTAAAGATTCTAAGATGTTAAATAATTATTTATATCTCAAATCAGTATGTTGAAACGGCTGAGTAGTGTGAACGACATATCAAAATAGAGCTATAAAGGTTAATCTAATAATTTCTGGCATTGAGGAAATTCAAAAACACAATCTTTATAAATTTTTGGTATTCATAGGCAAGGTACCTACTGCATATCCTGCAATAGGAGGTATCTACTTTAACTGACACCCATGGCTATAGGCCTACAGATACGATAATCCTTCGACGATTCAGACGCAAATGTGCTTGCTACTTGGATGGCATAGATAAATTTAATTATAATATTTATAGTCTAATATGTATGCATAAACAATGCATTTAAGATTAGAAATCTATAAGAAATGTGCTTAGTGTTTTAATTTTTTACTCAGTAAAAATTTTATTCTGTGTTTATCTTTTTTTAAGGATTAAGGACTAAAGGTCCAAGACTTACAGCGATCAAGATGTGTGTGGTGTGTGAAAATCGGTAAGACGCAAATGCATTGTAATTATTTTAAATCCGAGTTTTAGACTAAAATATTAGTAATTAATTATTATTTATTAGCTATTACTTGTCAACGTAGTTACGTAGGTACCAATGAAAAACGTCTATTTCTACTAGTTATGAGTGTTATGACAATATTATACATTTACACACCTTTAGAAATTAATACTGCTATGCATCTATTACACAGAGGCGTGAATAGGGGAGTACAGGCAATGCGGCTGTATTATAGGTCTTTTATGTCTAGAGAGCCCTTCTGTTGGTTTAAGACAGCGTAGTAATAGCGACTCGAATAACATTTTTTTTTAAAGGCGACCACCGAACCAACAGTGCACCACGGGAGACGTTCCTGCTGTAAATAAAAAAAAAATATACATACATCTGTGTAATATTAATATAATAGGTATTAGGTAGCCATCTAACTTAGTATAGTCTCCTGGTTTCCAGTGTTCCTGCGTGCGTAACAAACACGCCGGTCGGAAGAGGACGTTCGTAATTATTACTTATAATATTAATAATAATAATATTACGGATGTCGTTGGGACGAAGTGGAAACGGAGAGGGACAAAAATATGTGTAACAACTAACAATAAATAATATTATTAACGCGATACGACGGAACACCTCGAGGCCACCGCGACCCGGAGGTTGATGCCTTCACGCAGTCCGTGTCGCGCCCAACACGATCGTCCGAAAGTCTAGCGAGCAATCGGCGGATGCGGTCGTTCTCCACGGTCTCGGCGTCACCACCGCGGTACAATCTGGTATTCTCAGGTGTGATATAATAAGACGTAGATAACCGCCGATCACCGTCAGTCATCACTCGCCGGCAACCGCTAACCGGCAACGGCGGCAGGCAACCGGCATTCGCGTCCCGTCCGTCGACCTGTGTGAACGTGCGCGCGCTTCGTCTACCACACGGTGTCGGCCGTCGCGTTTCTCGTGCTCGTCCCGCGACGGGTGATAACAGTTTTCGCTACTGATAACAAACGCGCACCAAAATAATAACAAAATACACCACACCTATCGATATTATTGCAGTCGTCTGCTTGTTATTACTATCATCATCATCGTAATAACAGAAATCAGTATTCAGTGTTTACTTTGTAGCATCGGCGGCTGGTCGACGGCCGTCCGTGTATTGCCGAAAATGTGATCGGCCGGCCGCGGTGGAACTATGTCCAGAAAAACCAAACGATGGCTGTTACAGTTGCAGATATTACTCGCCCTATTGGCGCTCGCATCGTTCGTTTTTTACCAACAGGTGGGAATCGCCGGAGGCAATGTGCTCACTCCTGTCCAGCAACAGGTCTGTCCCACTCGTTTGACTTATGTTTCGACTGTGTAATTAACGTTTTGATTTCTTTGGTTTTTTTTTCATGTTCGCGTGTCACAGCTGCCAAAAACAGTAAGCAGTTCAGCAAATTATTCAATGTTGGAAAGAAAAACATTTCAACGCATATTGCCTGTCGATGATGACCTTTTAGAAAAAGTGTTCATCACCGTAAAAACTACTGGCAGAAATCACTTGACCAGGTTGCCCGTAATTATAAAGACTTGGTTTCAACTTGCAAAAAAACAGGTACCTATTATTATGAATTTATGTATAGTGTATACTGAATATACAATATACTATTTATCCAATTGTTATAATATATTTTATTTGATGACTACTCCCTTGATCAGAATCACTAGATAATGACTTATTTATTCTTACGTTTATTCTCATTGTATATTGATACTCTACCAAAATTATTAGCAGAGTTATTAGTATGAGCAAACAAGAGGGTTTTCTTGAAAACATACTTTATAAAATAGCTATATAATATTAAATTACTTAATATGTTATGTTTTCTTTTAAAGTATTAAAATAAAAAAAAAATAAATTAAAAGCATTATATTTTTTTAGTTACTAAATGAGTTATGAAGTTACATAGTTGAAACTTAAAATCTTATTAGCTATTCCGAAAAAATAAAAAAGAAAAAGTTAACAGTTAGCTACATAATTAAACATTTTACCTACTCTAGATTTTTTGCTGCATAAGTTTGTTTTTTTAAATTTTTAATTAGTTTAATTTATTGTAATTGAGTTGTTATATCTATTATAATATAATGCTATAAATTAGGAAGTTTGAAAAAACAGATAATATCCTTTTATAAATTTGTTTTGTCATTATTAATGCAATAATGCTCCTTTTTGTTTTTGCTGGTGTAAATATAAAATAATTTATATTTTATTAAATTTAGGGTAAATTGTTGTAATTTTTATTAGTTTGGTAGATTTGAGATAGATACTTTTCTAATCATTAGTTCAATTAATATTTGTATTGCATGCAGTTTTTCTGGTCTTTTTTATGGTTAGATATTGTGATATAATTAATCAGTGATTATTAATTACTTTATAGAATACAATTTTGTATTGAAAGATATTGATTTAAAACATTTGAATTCCATAATTTAAGTTAAGTTAAAATTTAAAACTTACAACAGTTACAACCACTTGTAAAAATTTAATTAATATCTTCAATTTGTTAATAATTTTTTTATAATTTCCCAGAACTACACTAAACAATTACTCTATTTCGTAAATGGATAGTTGCTTGTGCAGTTTTGCTAAATTTCTGTTTACAAATTGGTTCTAAATTCTAATATTAGTTTGAATATTTATTCAGCAATGTATAAAATAAACAAAATGTTATAGTATTACTTATATTTAAAATTATACCATTATTGTTTTTCACGCTATAGTTTTGTTGATTATATCATGCCTTTATAAAAATTCAATAACATTACTATAGTACTTTCTCCATATATTTTTAATCTTGAGATAAAATTGTCTCCAAGTCATATATTATTTAGAAAAACAAATTTTGGAAATAATTAATAATTACGAAATTCAAAAATTATCGTAACAGCTATAATTTACCGATGACTACTACATTTTGGTAGGTATAGGATGAAAATAACTTTTAACAATTAACAATAAACAATAACTAAGCATAATTTTATAGATAAACAATTATGTATTTAACTTAAACATGGTTTTTATCTTCAGCTTATTTTAACTAAAATGGGTATTGGCGATTAAAGGATTTTTTTTTGTATGGAGTATTCTACACGAGTACCAATAATTAAAAATGCTTATACTACGTTTACTCGAGTTAGGTAAATTACTTAAATTGATTTAATAATAATATATTTTTTTTTATTAAGAGGACGCCGCACTCGCATGTGTTATTTTTATCTTACATATATACAACATAGTAAATTTTCATTTAACAAAATCCATTTATGTTGTTAGCTTTAATATTAGAGTTAATTACCTATTATCAAACTTAAAGGTAAAGATTTAATCTAGGTGATGATTTAGGATTTTATTGATATTTTAATTTTAAGCTGAGTTATAGCTATATAAAATATTGAAACTTAAAAATACTCATAACTATCACTTTAAAATTATAATATTAATAAAAGCCTATGTTATTGCTTAGATAAAATTCTTACATTTAATTTTGATAATAGGTAAATTTATTCTTATGTTAAAGCTAATAACATAAAATGGATTCTGTTAAATGAAAATTTGCTATGGTGTATGTTTGGAAAACAGAGATAACACATGCGGGTGTGGCATCATCTTAACATTTTTTGGGTTAAGATGTACCATTTATTAATAAAAAATCGAGTTAAATTAGTTTTTAGACAAAATTATTTTTGATTTTCTTGCTTGTAGAGAAATATTTTGAAAAATATTGAATAAAACACGAAATTTAATGTAACTATAATATTGTTAAAAATAAGTTCAAGTTTTAAAAATTGTTTATTATATGTTTTTCCGTGATTGTCTTTAAAACATAATATTCCATAACATAGAAATAAAAAATATTCAATCGAGTACCTATCATCCAGCATTCTCAAATTATTTATTATAAGTCGAGTTAACAATTTTAGGCTTTAAAATATGATATGATTATAAAATATTATTTAAGTAAGTTTTAATTATTACTAATAAATATCTCAAAGGAAGTAACATTTATTAATTTTAATTTAATGCCTAAATTACTTAAATTATTTATTTTTAAGCTATTTAAAATTATAAAAAGTTCGTGAGATTTTTTTTTTAGTTATTCGGTTACTTAACCGATTTCTATTCAAAATTATTTTTTAAGTACAATAAATTATTATTGATTTTAAATTTATAAGTATAATACATTACTATGGTAAGGTGAGATAAGCGATGCGAAAAGAGTGCTCGAAATTAGGTCTCCGTATACGTTTATAACGACATTTTGTTACTAGTAGAAGCTCTAGTATATTAATTTGTATTTGTTACTATTTTAATAATCATTTCAAAGGAAAAATACTAGTATTTGCCGTTGCTACGCTGTCAAAGGCTTAAAAATAACTAAGAAATTATTTTTAAATTCAATACTTACCTTCAGTACTTATTTGCGTATTTTACAAGAGTCCATTTGCGATATTTGGTTGGTAGTATTTTTTATTTAATCAAGAAAAATTGAGAAAGTTAAAATTATTGCTATTTATATTTAGGTTGATACTAGTTACGAATATATAATTTATTATTTTCAATTATTAGTTTTTGAATAAAAGTTATGTTAAATGCAAAGTGGCTATAGGTTACACAACACACCTGCATAAAAAAAAAATAGTTATCTAAAAAAGATCGGTACTTTTTTTGTACAATGGAATAATAATAAAATTATATAGTTTATCAGATCTTAAATTATACAATCATTTATATGCTTAAATTATAATACATTTAATTTGTATATATGTAGGAGTACAAACTGAAAATTTGAAAATAATCATTTATGTACTTACCTGAAATGTATGTGGTAAATCACTTCATTTTACAATGGGACTTCTAATAGACATTAAAATATTTTCGAAGAATACTTAATTAGTATATTTTTAATTTTTTATACTTATATAAATAATTTTTAATTAAAAACTGTGGAATAAAATATTTATTCCTTAGTTAAAATTATGAAATAAAAGTATGTTATATTATAATATGATCATTGATTAATTTTATTTATTATATGTAGTAATAATTGTTTTGTTACATTATTTTTTAAATTCATTTTATGCAATAAATAAATTGTATCCTAATTTTTTTTTTAACTATCGGTACCTTTTATACAAGAACAAATGTGAATGTGAAGGATTAATAATTATGTTTATAGGACGTGTCGTAGTATTACACGTTCTCTTGCAATTATAAAATGATTATTGTAGTATCAATATCTGTGGAAATACCTAGATTTCCCTTGGATATATAGTAGGTATGTGTCGATGACGCTTATATTCCAATATTTACTGCTATAAGGTTTGTTGCATTAACTATGCATTTAATATTAAACTCATTCAACACTTGTAAGATTTGTAAAGTTCGTAAAATGTATTCGGTAATTTATAAGAGTTTATAATATCAAGGTTAACTAGATCAACTGTTTTATAAAATTAAATTTGATACATAAGTTGTACGTGCAGGCATTTTCTTGATTGTATATAATTAAAGTATTTGACGTAATAGTGCTGTGTTGTTTTTAATTATAATAAGTTCACAAAAATTAAATTTGTTACAGACTTGGTTTTTTACAGACACTAATGATCAACATTTAAGTCAAGTGACGGGTAAGTTGTATGATTACTAGTTTTTAATATTATTTAATTATGGGTACATATTATGAATATTGAAACATACATTTTATATGATAAGTAGTATCAAAATATTATTGGTATTTTATATTTATCAAGCTAAAAGACTTAATACTACTGTAAATGAAACGCAAATATATTTAGCATTTTACTTATGGAAAATCATATATATTATTGTGAATCGTGATGGATTATTTTCATAAGTTATTCACCTGTTATAAAACAGTCAAATTCACATTAATATGTATAATAAAAGTTTACACTTAATAATTTTATCTAACATACAAAATCACACCGAAACTATTATTTTCTACTAGTCATTTGGTAATCTTATTAAATGTTCTCGTTACTAACAGGTGCTGTAAAGCGTATTATTTAAAAAAAAACATTTTTTATACTGTGCCCTCGATTTGTGTACAAGTAGGTATGCACATGTACTGAAATATATATTTATATACTTGATTCGTAGACTTCATCATACCGCTTATTATTTTCGGTTTGTATGACTTGAACTAATCATAGTAATCATTCATCGCTTTTTTATAATCTTGCCTTATACTTACCTATTTTATTACATATATTTAAATAAGATTCTTAATGTTTATATTTTTTATACATAGATTGTTTCACTTTGATATTAGATTTTTCATAGATTATAAAAATCATATTTCCGAGTACCTAATTACCAGTTTTAAAATATATACTTCAACTAGTAATTTAAAAAGTTATATATTTTGTATTTTCATGAATATTCAAAAGTGTTTAAATTTCATAAAGCTATTTTATTTTACCTATAAAAATATAAAAGTTTTACGGAAAATAATATCAGCCTTATTTTAGATTCAAAATGTAATAAAAACTAGCAGATCCGAGTAAATTATTTCATTTACTTAATTTAATTATTTTGAAAACTGAAATTTATTAATTGATTAGTATTGTACATATTTATTTTTTTAATAATTAATGTGATATATTTTTTGAAATTTATTAAATTATTTTTCCATTAATTATATATATATATATATATATATATTATAAAAGCCGTTAAAATTAATAAATACAAAAGTATGATAATGTTTTTGTATACCTATATATTCATTTTAATCTCAAGTCATTAATTTAAAAATACGAAAATTTTTAGATAGAACAATACTTCTTTTTGTTTTCAAACAATATGAGTTCAACAATGACGTTTTTGTCTGGGCAGGCTAATGTACACACTAGAAATAATTATGTATAGAACATTATTGTTTAGAAAAATTATTTGCTCAATATCCTATACTATCTTCAAGTAATTAATTTTTTAAGATTAGACTTTAACACCCGAATTCTTAAAAATATTATTTTTCTTAAATTAGTAAATTGTAGAAATATCATAAATAATTCATTTTTAATAAAATAAATGTATTTATTTACATAATTAGTTTATTAAAATTTTTTATAAACAATGATTTACTTATTCGTTTCATATTAAACATTTATAATATCATAATGATAAATCTGCTTTTAAATACATTTTATGTTGATGTTTTACTTTTTTATATTCTAGGTGGTCACGTCATAAATACTAACTGTTCAGCTACTCATAGTAGGCAAGTAATACATATGCATGTAACATTACAATAAATCGCAGTGGGATATCAATAAATAATTATTTTTAAATTAAAATTTTTATCTTTACAAGTTTATATAGTATTTGACGCTAGTTTTAATTTGATTTTTAGACGTGCATTATGCTGTAAGATGTCTGTCGAATTGGACGTGTTCCTTGAATCGAAAAAGAAGTTAGTATACAACTATTTAAATCGATCTTGTTTAATATATCATTGGTATAAAGAGTAAAATTCACGAAGTCGTATGTTGTTCTATAGTATAACTAATTTTGTATGTCCAAAAAACAACTTATAAACGATTTAATTTTAAATTTGTTATGTAGTATACTAAATTACTGGGTACTGTATTACATATATTTAGGTAACGTGTTTAAATGTTTTTTATCATATTAAAAATATTTATGTATTTTGAAGTCAACAATTTTACATACACTATCTTAAAAATAGTTGCGATAGAAATATGAAATAAGAAATGTTGGACACTAGGAGTACTGCCAAGAGTGTTTCAGAGCCTTTTTTGTTTTTAGATTAATAATTTATCTTTACGACAGTATCTAATTATTACTATGTTTAATATAGTTTTATAGTGCTTTACTGTTATAAAATATTATAAAATTTGTATTATTGATTCAAGGTGGTTTTGTCATGTAGACGATGACAACTATGTTAATGTTCCTGCTTTGGACGAATTATTAAAAATGTATAATCCAATTGGAGATTGGTATTTGGGACGCACTAGCACTCCAAAGCCTTTACAAATTCGCACCAAATTTCAAGTAAGTCAATACCAATACAATAAGGTAGTTATATCTATTCATTTGATTAAAATAATTGTTTAAAAGTACTGAGTATTTTAAAGTTGATGAAATATTGTTAAAACTTTGGAAAGTAAACCACTAAAAAACTTTAACAATGTCATTGAATATTCTATGTGTATTCATTATGATGTTGGTAATATCTAAGGTGACGGAGTAAATTATTTAAACATTTTGATTGAAACAGTATATTTATATAAATAATAATACTTTTTAGCCGTGTATCTTAATAAATACGTTGTTAAAACTTATTACGTGTATATATATTAAATAAATAAATCATCATAAAATTTGTTTTTAAATATTGTGAACTTCATAATAGTGTAAAGACATTTTTTCGAAATTTGTTTTTAGTTTTTGTATTTTTAGTTATTTGAAAAAAGATACTATAAATATTAAAAAGCATTTACTGGAATTTTATTTGAGATTTGACGAAAAATTGATTTTTTTCAACAGATTTTAGTTATTTGGCGCAATTTAACAAATATTAATATAGACGCTATAAACTTTTAGCTGTACATATGTTTCATTATTTTCTTTCCGTATTCTATATATATACTATATAGTATACACATTACACAATACTGTCTTATAATTATTTATTTTCATGCGAAAAACTTATCAATATTATTTCATTAATATTAATAATATAGTAACTTAAAATTTATACGTGATATTTTTGACAAAAATAAAATTCATCTTTTTAATAAAGAAAATACTACAAAATATAATATAATATAAACTATTCTTAGAAATATATGCTGATTCACCTGTTTTCTTGCTCAGAATCGTTTTTTTTTGTATGCCATGATTTATTATTAAATTCTTTAAATTTAACTTAATCAATTGCAAGATATATTCAAATCTTACTATACGCAGGCTCCGCTGACCATAAGCGAGTCTCTGGTTTTCTAATATACAAATGATAACGTATTTATTGTATTTAATTTTAATTTAGGGATATTATGTTCGTGCTTAAATATTAACTGTTACGTCCATAATGTTTTTTATTTTTTGTTTTAGAAAACTACATTTTGGTTTGCTACTGGAGGTGCTGGATTTTGTTTGAGCCGTGCATTAGTACTTAAAATGGCACCGATATCTGGGTAAGTTTTTAATAATTTTTTTGAAGTTATGACATTTAAGTATCTTTTACTTAATATTATAGTTAAGTTGCAAGCATTTTAAGTTTTTATTTTTGACTAAAAAAAAAAAAGTTAAATATATATAACTATTATATGAAGTATAAAAAATTTTATCATCAAAAAATCAAATCGATAAACATTTTCTGTAATTTAAACTTGAATGTAGGTGTACTTAAATACTGTATACAACTTTAAAAGATGTAGATATCTGTCGGCTGTTTTAATTATAATTAAAAAAAAAATAATAAAAGTGAGTATAATAATATGTTCTTGTATATCTAATTAAACAATAAATTTAAAATTTAAAATCCTAAATTTTAGAATGTATTTAAATAATACTACGGCAATATTTAAAAAATTGGTATTTATTTTATATCATACAATCGTAGGCAATACAATGCAATGTTATACAATCCAAGTATAATTTACATAATTTATGTTAATTGTTGTAACTTTTATATAAATTATATTTTAATATGTATTTTATAATATGAATATTTATGTCTAAAATATAATAATGATTTTCTATACACGACTGTACATTGTCATAGAAAATGTTTTTATGCATGTTATGAAATTTGAATTTTTATGTTTATTTAATCTAAATTAGATGAATATTTATCTCCACGGTGAGGCTAAGAGGGAACGTCCCTTTCAATTTATCGCTCTTTAAAATTTAACTATGTAAATCAAAGTTGTACAATACTGTTAGTGTACCAGTTTGTTACCACTGTCTAGACATTTTTATTTAAATTGATACCGATCTAATTATTTAACATTTGTATTTATATTTATTTTATTTTGTATGCTTATTCGTTTATATTTTATTTTTAAAACGCTTTTACTCGAGGAACCAATAAATGATTTTATCTCGTAAAAATCTAATACTTATTAAAACACATTATTCTGACCAATACTCGATTCATTGATATTAAACGTGTGAACAGTTTTGGAGATATTTTTACTGTTTAAATCGATTTTATTATATGTATTTAATATAATATCAGGTTTTTAACTGGTTCTCTGAGGTGAATAACATTTTAATACAACTATGACGATTTTTGTCATTTTTAGGTAGGTATTGTCGTTTTTATATAAAAGTCGACCCATAAAAAATTCAATTTTAATTGCTGGGATAAAACGAATTCAGTTCTTTCTAATTTAATGACATGCAGTCTCCATGAGTCAAAAGTGTATTCGTAACCCGTTTTTTTAAATTGAATAATAAATTGGGTGTTCCAATACAACTGTCAGTTGACGCCCCTTGTCCCCTCTATTTTCTTTCATTCCTCGTCGTTAATCAAATTGCTGAATTGACGAGTTAACCGGTTTATCACGTCTAGGCTCTCCGAAAAGGAGTTGTCTTGTGATGTATTTTTCGCACTAATAAGCTGAAATTCCTATAATAACAAAGCATTTTTTTTATTTTTATCATTCGTAAATTAAAAAAAAAAAAAAAAAAAAATGAAAGGAAAATTTCCCGCCATTGTTAAAAGAACCAAATTGGGTTTCGATTGGTGTTTGTCGGGGAATGTAAAGCGATTGTCTAATTGGCAGATTTTAATTGGCTAAAATTCTTTATGGAAGAAAAATATCTAGTTGGAGTCAATCCAAATGCGAAGGTAATAAGATGAAAAAAATGTAGTTCCAATAAATTAGATATAATGTTGCCAACAAATGTTGTTGCAGGTGATTTGTTGTAAGTATTGTTATTGGACGTCAAACTTAAAATTCAATGACTAAATTTTAATAACTCATTAATTTTAATGATAACATACCAACATTTATTCGCTATATTTCATATTAGTAGATATATGATTTTGAAAACAAATAATGAAAAGCAAAACCAATGTTAACACCAGAATATGTTCCTACTTTTTATGTATTTAATGTTCTAATTTAAAAATATAAAATTAAATATAATTTTTAATTAATGTATTATTTGAAATTCAATTTTATAAAATTTATAATGATAAAATATACTATAATTTAATACACGCGGAAAAATCACGGGGGACAAATATTATTTAATTGACTTATGAGTTTGAAAGAGAACACAAATTTTATGATAGTTAAATGATACATTATTAGAAGCCAAAAGCTATCTTTATGAGTCTAAGAAATATTGATATTATTTTTATGAAAAGTTTGTTACTGGTATTTGATAATGAATATCATGATAGACGGGCTAACTATAATGGGTATTCTACATATTATATAGTTATACAGACATACGGTATACATACTACAAAGTATAGAAGTAGGAAAATATTAAATAGTACCTATTATTACTTTAGGTATGTAAAAGGATTATATAGTTTAAATGTTTGTATTCCATTCAATTTGATTATATCCTTAATCACAGTTCATTATTTAAATTAAAATATTGTTTTAAAAATGCTTTTCAATATTTTTTGTTGTGTGTTATTTGTTAGATGTCGATTTATTTTGGTTAGCAATGAATTTTCAATTAGGAATAACAAATTTTGCAAAAACTTACACCTCCCTAATTAATAATTATGGTGGGTATATCGGAAGTTTGGTATTTAGTTTACCACAGATGTTTGTCAAAACTTTTAAAACTTGTTCATAGCCGTAACTTGTGTATGGCGTTCGAGGCGTTACATTTAAAGATAAATTGATTGACTACAACAACTTTATAATTAAGTCAGGCTTAATAATAAATACATTTTAATTGATATTAGTATATATTTATGCATTTATGTTCATACTAAAATATAAAAGCCCGCTTTATAAACGTTGGATATCATTTATTTTTTTGCTATTACTTTATTTTAATTATATTTATTTAAAATATTTTACATCAATTCGTTCGCGTAATGTATAATTAAAAATTCATTATTTTTGTCATAAAAAAATCAATTTTTAAATTAATACCTATACATTTTAAAATAATATTTTAAATTTGAGTTTTTAATTAAATTCAAATATTTTTTCTTTTGAAATAAAATAACGACAACAGTTAATAAGACTATTTACAGTGTTATTAAATTAATAATTTTTTAGAGTTAAAAAAGATAGTTGCTTAATTTATTTAATTTAAATATACCATTAATATAACCTTTTGATAAATTATAAAAAAAAGTTAAGTATATAGTAATAAATGTATAATAAGTTTTAAAACATCACAATTTTTAGGTTAGACAAAGATTAAAATAATGTAAGAAAGTACTATTTATACTCTACCATAAATATAAAATTAAAAGTTCTTTACTTTTAAAATTAGGTACCTAATTTTATAATAACTCGTTTATTATACTACGATTTAAATCATTTTTACTAAACGATGTCTAATGTTCATCGAAATTCTACTTAACCTGAAATATCTTCAATTTTATTGTAAATCGATGTACGTCTTATTCATCAACTGCAATAACATAAAAACCAGACCACCTATCAATAATTATTATATTTAAAATACATAATAGCATTCTGTGGTATATTAAGTAAAACGTACAACTCTAAAAGTAGTTATGTTTATTTTATTACGAATTAGGTATCATTTTTAGCGTCTTATGTTAAAATAATATGTCTTTTTTATTATGTCATTGATAAACATATGATTTTAATAATAATTATCTAAACAAGGTTTGCGTTTTCATTATTTTGAGTATAGGTATTGCATGGGAAATAAATTTTTTAGTATTATCATATGGCTCACAGTAAAATATTTATTTATTCATTTTTTAACATTTGGAACAGATGACGTGTGAATGATCGTTTATTAGATGATTTTATTTTTTTCACAAGCCATGTGTCACACATTAAATAGTTAAATTGTCAACCATCCAGAAAATATACATTTATGAACACGTTAAGAATAACAATACATAATAGTTTCCTGGATGAATAAATTTAAATCCTGGCTCTGGTTCTTTGTCATTCACTATTATGCAGACAGAATCGTAAAAATTAATGGCGTCTTTTTGTTTTTAAATGAATTGATTTTACTTATTATTATTATTATTTTTGTTTTTTGATGCAGGAATGGAAAACTTATGGCAATTGGGGATCGTATAGGTCTTCCAGATGATGTTAGCGTCGGATACGTTATAGGTGTGTATATGAGATTCGTAATGTATGGTTATTCAGATTTTCTTGAATCCTTATCATTTCTAAAATAACCAATTATGTTTTATTTTTTGTAGAACATTTGTTGAAAATACAATTGACTAGAGTGGAACAATTTCACTCGCACTTGGAGCCAATGAGACTTATAAAAAAAGATTTATTCAACGAACAAGTAATAAATACATATATATTATATATACACCGAAATATCAATATTAATGTTAATTATTTTGTACTTTTTATAATATAGCTGACGTTTAGTTATTCTTTGGACAATGATCCAAACACTGTGGACGTGGATGGATTTAACGAAATCACTGATCCTACCAGGTACATTTTTTACTGTTACAGAATTTAGAATAATGTGTTGTGTATTACGATGTAAAATAAATATTAAACTATTTTTATTTTCAGATTTCTTTCACTGCATTGCTTTTTGTTTCCTGAAGCTTCGAATTGTGTTGAAAAATAAGTATCAAGTATACTATTAATCGTTATATTGTTCCAGAGACTTAGTAAGAGTTAATAAAATCAAATTTAGTGTCGTTTTGTAACATTTTGCTCGGTATTTTTTTTTAGTTGTTGTCTTGTTTGACCTAACGTTTTATTAACTTGAAATATAAAAACCATTAATCATAAGGTCTTCTGAATGTGCATGTCATGGCTGATCAGAAGGTGGGAAACCGTCATAATGGTTGCGACTAATATTCGTGTGCTTACAGTTGAATACTCATTTCCCATAATGTGCCCGAATGATAGGACTGAAAATTCCCTCATTACTATATCATTTGTTACGATAATGACATTAACTATGAATATTTTCGATTAATCTTAAATTTAGGTTAGCCTAAATTAACTTTATACTAAAAATGACACTTATAAGAATTTCTTTAATTTTAGTTTTTTAAGTATTAGATACTCGGAACAGTCTGAACAAATATACTATTTTACATGAATGTTATTTTTTGAATATTTTCGGTTATGTTTTGTACAAAGATTTAAAATGTATTAAACATTTTCATAGAAGACATTATTTAAACAATTAATCAATAGGAAGTTCGTGTAAACAGTATAAACAATAAAATAGTAATTCTTTAATCATTAACTTATGTTTAAATTAATCATTGCTCTATGTGTTATAGATAATTAATCTATAAATAATCAATTTTAATATCAATATATCGATGTCTCATCCGGTTAATATATTTATATTTTTATTATTATCATAATAATAATGGTTAATGTTTTAAAACCGTTTTCTAAAGTTTCTCGTTGTTTATTGAACCCCTTCGCTCTTTAATGAAATATTTCTCAGTAATAGTCGAAAATATATAGGTAGTATTACGTGTAAATATATTATGTAAAATGTATGTAAATACCGCACGTATCTACTTACGTGCCACCGGAAGGCGCCTTATTGACATGCACGTTATTTATGTTAAGTTTTTTTATCTGTGATATTTAATTTTAAGCAATTATTTTTTGTACAAATATAATTTATTATTATAATTATCTAAATTATGATCTGTTTGTTATTTAATCAAAACATTTGTATAATACGGATTTGCAGCTATTACCTATTTGTGTCTTTTTATTGTGTATTTTAAGTAGTTAAAATGTTTTTATTTTTCGTTAATTTAAATAAATTGTTCATTTTTTATTCTATTATAGTGCTACCACTGATGTATTTTTAATGACAGAAAAGTTTTTATTAACACTTATTAATATATATATATATATATATATTTTTTTTGTGGTATTATATGTAACAATAAAGCTCATTATAGTCGAGTTTCATTATCTGATATATTTTCTAACAGATTATATACTATATGAAAATAAACGTTATTATTATATAGTATATACATGTACCGTGTATCTAAGTTATTTATTATCATTTTAGATTAACATACTTCGACATCAAACGTTGAAAAAAAAAATTTTATTAATAATCCATCAAGATATTTTATTGGATTCAAAGGTTAAAAATATTTTTTTTTTCATGTTTTTTTGTAAAGCCAGATGCACAAAAGAAGGGAGAAAAATGTATCAAATCTGTATTCACTATTCATCACTGCATGAACCGCATCACAACCGTCGTGTACAATAATATAATATATATGTCGACGGAACTAAAACTAACGTTTTATACGTTTAAGTGGTTTACTCCGAGATGAAGGATAGAGACAAGTGATGGAAGGAGGGGAAAAGGAAATGAAACACATTTTTTTTCACAAACTCTGATGACGGGAGGATGTCTTGCGCGATAAACGCTGTCATATGCGCGTGTCACGTACAAACTTTGCTTGGGTTTTTATATACCCTCGGGGCATCAATTGCCTTAGAAAACTAGCCCTTATATTATACCCTCAGCTATATATATATATATATATATATATATATATGTATTGATATTATGGCTTTTTCTCGACGGCGGTAATAAAGTATTATATTTTTGTATCGCATCATGCTCGGTCAGAAATTAAATTTGTCGATCTCGCTGGTTGGCATATACGGATCAATATATACTGGGTGATTCACATTGTATGTCCACCTCGTTGTTAATTTTTAATCGACTATTTTTTTTTAATATTGAGTTGGAATTTTTGAAAATAATAAAAGTCCATAATATTTTTAAGTACCTACATTTATAATATACATATTTATATTTTTTAAATTTAAGTGATAGTATAGTTCAGACTAAATTTATTCAAACATGAACTGAATAGAATTCTCTTTTCACCTATAAATTATTAAGCAGATTTTTTTAAATACAAATTAAAAATATATTTAAATATTTTTTAATATAAATTCGAATAAGAAGTCTTAATTCTAAAAATTAATGATTTGAATAAATTTATTATTAAAAGAAAAAATCGTGGTAAGTATGCTTGGTAAATTACCCTGTGTATATTTATATTGTATTATATTTTATTTCTATTTTATTTCAGTTGCTTATATCTTGTTCTCTTTACTTATAGACTATAGGTATCGCATAAATATATCGATCTTCACTCGTGTGTGCACTACCCATGTACATTGTACACATACAATACACTATATATTATATAAATATTGTCATAACCGCGTTTGTTCCCTGGATAATTAATATCATAAAAACCGACCTGACCATGTTGTAACGTTTGGTGAGGGCGCTGAAAATTTGGACTTTAATAATCCTTATAAAATTGATAAAACAATGATTAAAACTTAAAATAAGTATAATAATAACAATAATTTAGCAGAGATAGAAAGACATTTACAGCGAAATTTCATATGAAAAATTTAATTAACAAAATGAATAAAAGCAGTATCTACCTACTTCACAATTAATGCTTATGCATACGTGTAAATATACGGTAAATTTATTAGAAGTATTCATAATAAAGTATAACTAATCCGGAAGTTAATCAATTATAGGTAAAAACGATACATTACAGAAAATCAACGATTCTTTCAGTTTTGCTTGCTGTTGTATCTATTTTTAGTTAGCGGTTTGAATGTCTACACTCTACAGAGTCAAGGTGGAACGCAACAAGTTTTTCGAATGATCGATACCAACAGAAAAAAAAAAAGAATGTAAAAAGAAACGACGAATAATTGAACACACATAAATATCGTGGATAATTATAGTTTATAATTATAAATATAAAAATACCAATTCAATCTACATAATATAGATACGTCGTCACTCGGTGGTTGCGAGAAGCGATCGGATTGGAAGCGAACGTTAGGTAGGTATCTAATTTTTTTTTTAACCTGCAGAATCAGAGACGTTTAATAGGTATGCTGTGAGGAATAACAGATGTTGTTAATTAAAACGTAGGTTGATTAGCGTCGTCTGTTTGATTGAAATTTAATATGTTTAATCCGCTTTTGAAGAACGCATTCTAATGCTATCATTAAACGAGCATAAAGATATCTTCTAGGAGTTTATCCGTTACCTAGTCGAGACTTTCTCCGTATTGTCATTTTGCGTAGGATAATAATTATCGTTTTAACCGCAATGTCGTCTACTCCTATAAAATTGTCAAATAGGTCCTTTATGGCTTCACGTAGTACGAATATCCCTATTTATAAAGCTCATTATCATAATATAGAGAATTATATTATATTAGATATTTTCGTGCGTTTAATATTTTGGTGATATAATATCGACCCGTGTAATTCAATGACACATTGTTGCAGGTTTGTAGATATTCTGATAATTTTAAAACGGTCATTCTACGCTCGGTTATAGTAAATTATACTTATCTATTACCGTACATTTTGTGTTTCTATAGAAATATATTGCAGATTTTAATATTTTCAAAACAAATATCGACGGTAGTTTTGTTTTTGTAAGGATTTTCCAAGGATTTTCTAAGTTAATAACGTAAATATTTATATTAGGGGTGTTGTATGCATGTATGTATATATATATAGATGAACTCGTTCAGATTCATATTATAGTTTTATGGACATTGTTTAATGAGTAACGCGTTCCAAAAAGTCACCATAGTTAAAAACTTAATTTTTGTAGTTATAATTTTTAGCTATTATTTGTTAAATAAATTATAACTCAATTGTTACAAAATCACTGTAGGTAAAGATGAATATACTATATAGGCATCTAACTGATCTAACTACCTATGTCATATCTAATACTAGTAATGTATATAAGATTGGCATATAAATCAAATAAATAAATAAATATATTTTAGGTTTTGAACGGAACGTTGAATGAATTATCGATTTTACAATGATGTATGTTTAGTATTTTATTTTATTGTGTCTGCAGAAATATAGTGAAGGTTTGAAAACTCAATTCAAGGCTTTTCATCAATTGTTCTAACCTAACCAAAAACTGAAAAAAATACATAATTTTTAATAAAGTTTGTTTTGATTTGTCGACGATGACACTAACGATTGCATAAAACAAAACCCGACTGAAACTATTATTTAATTAAAATTGATTTATCACGTGGTGTGTACACTGGCTTATAATTTGTATCGTAATATTCTTAATCTATGCCCACAACATTAAATATTAGATCATTATCACAGATTATAAATTGATCTTGGTTTTACCTTATAGCAACAAATATTATGCTCGATAAAAACTTATTAAATTCAAGTAATAAACTAGCGTTTCAAAACATTTACGTATACCTAACGGCTAACGCACTAACGCATAAAGGGTTATTAACTTAAATCGGGTATTGTAGTTTCTGCAGTAGTTAATCCCATTGGTGAGAATTAATTACTAATTATTATAGGTACGCATATTTAGTATAATAAGTACCGTTATAGGTTTAACTGTTTATATTCTTAATTTAATTAATTATACCATGCACAATTTTATTAAAAATTATTTCAAATTAAAAAAAAAAAAAAAAAAATTGAGAATTGTTTGAGTGTTAAAAAAAATTTAAAATAATTAGTGCGAGTCATTTAAGGTGTTGTTAATAATAATACAGTACTTTGAAGTATCTAGAATGAAAATATTACAAATGACTTAAACGCAAAATTTTAAAATATACGATCATGTGATATTATAAATTGTTGTAATTTATAGGCATTTTTAATATATTATGATTTATAGATTTTTTACCATTTAAATTTTATGTCGTGAAAATAAAACTTACAAATGAATTATATTTAACAGTTAAGCTGAAAGCAACAATGGTATTTAACATCGTATGTTATAGTATTATGTAATTGTATGTAATTAGGTGATTATAGAAGGTAATCTATAATATATATTTTACTTGATAATGAATCATTCTGTTGAAAATGTATGTTCTTTAAAACCAAAATTAGATAAAAAAAAAAAAGTAAAAATTTAGAACGATGGTTTGAAAATTTGATTTAATCAAATACAAACATAATGGTGTGTTAAAAGATATTTCATAGTTATTTATAAATAAAAAAAATTAAACAGTAAAATAAATTTCATCATACATATTATATTTATCTATTAACTATTTAAATTTATAATTTTTAAAAGTATACTCTGATTTCCAAACATATACAAGATGATTCTTTTATCATTGAACACTCATTATTTCAAAATGTGTTGACTTTTTTCAATTTTTTTTT